TAAAATAACACAGATCAGAAACAGAATTTAAGCAAAGTTCTGGATCATTTGTTTGCTGACTTTGTTGGACAGCTCAGACAGAAGAGAGTCTTTGTTGATGCTAACAGTTCCTTTGAGTCATTCATATTTATAAAAACATACTCATATGTGCTTCTAGATTTATTAAGGTGAATAAGCTGATATTGTTGAGCATATATCCAAAAATGTTTCTATGGTTATTAAGGTGAATAAGCAAGCTTGATATATATTTACACTGTGTATAGATTATAAAAGAATTTACTGCTGATAATGCTGGACGAATATCTAACTATGTAAGATGACATATTTATCATTAGTTCCCCTTTTGTTGTGTGACTGCTATTGACAATTCTAACTATAACTTTGGAATATTTAAATTGTTTTCCATTTTGCACTAAGGATATTTTGGAATCTTAATATTCTATTTCATAAGATATTAGCCAGAGGTCTAAGATGGCTCACATCCCTACAGGGGATAAAATAAAATCAGAGAGAAAGACTGGGACTTTTTAGTATGTGGATTTGATAAAGGTATACCTTAATTGCCGCTATCACAGTAGTCAAGAAGCAGTTATTGTTGATTATCTGAAAATTACTTAAGAAATTTCCATTAATATCATAGTTTAAAAGCTTTTCTGAAAGAAATAGTTTAGCTTCTTTTGTGAACATGGTGAATATTTTATATTTTGTTATAGAAAACAGCATGCACATTTTCAACAAGAGAGTGTCCTTCCCATAACACCTCAAATAACATATTCAATTTAAAATGTAAGCATGACATTCAGGCTTCATTTGCTGTTGGTGTCAATCTAAAAAAATATAAATTGATGCAGACAGAAAATTCTAATCTGATGCCCTAGGGCCAGATCCAATAAAACACTTAGGCATCTAAATTTGGTGTTAAAGCAACTAACTTTTAGGTGTTTGTCCCCCAGAAAGGAATCTTGGGCTGAAGTGAGCTGGGTCTTACATTCCTATGTAGTGTATAGGGTATGTATCGCCAGGCAGGTACCAGTCAAGGGATGTTATGAGCAGCCACTGCCTCCAACACCACTTAACTTTACCCAAACCAGGTACTGCAAATTGGGATCTAATGAAGTTAATAAGTACAACTATAGTCTGTGTAAAGTCAACAGGAAATCATATGCAGCTATCTGGAGCTAGTACATGTAGAGAAACCCTGTCAATAGGACTGAGCTATAAATTCCACCTTGCAGACCCCATACAACCAGAGTCTGGGTCATAAGGGCAAAGGGACGACGGTAAAATATACTACCCTCTTTTACACAAAGCACAGCGATTAGGGATACTGCCCACGAAATGTGTCGCAAGTTCAATTCTCTCCTGCCAACAAGGAATTAGGAACCACATCTCCAAGGGTGGTGGTGGGGGGTGTTTAACTTTCAAGCCACTGATTATTTTGAACTCTTCATATCAATGAGCAAGAAGAGGATCAGGATTCAGTAGTCTAGCCCTGAGGTTCTCCGCTAGTTCCTTCTTCCTGTGTTATTTCCAGATTTAATGGACAACATCACTGAAGAGCTGAACAAGTATTCAGCCCCATAGAAAACATCAAAAATACACTTCTCGCAACTTCAGCCTGGGAGATCTGCAGGACCTCAGATAACAGCTGAGCAGGATAAGTGATTAAATGTACCTCACCCAAATTGAGGGACTACCTAGAGCAAACTCTTTGAGTCACAGAAACTTAACTTTACCTGAAAAGACCCAGAGCTTTAATTTTAATGGAAAACACTGAATGGATCTTTTCTAATATGACTCCTATACTTCACGTAAGTCCTTCTTGCGAAATCTGACCTAATAAGACCAAATGTGCATCATCAAATAGTCCATAATTGCAGGTTACAAAATTAGATACTTGGTTTTGATGATGGCTGTCAAGTACTTGAACTAACACCGTGTACTTGAATTTACCTCCTTCTTCCCAGGATAATTTGCAGTTCTACAGCCTGCTTTCAGTAAAATTGGAAAATCTGCCATGCTCTAATAAGGAAAAAATCCTGGAAATCTAGGGTAATTGACTTCTCTGGTTATACAGATAATGAATTCTTGAGTTATGTATGAACTGTGGGGCTGAAGTGCTCAGCGGTGTCCTCTGCAGCCCCCCTAGTCCAGACTAGGACCACAACATAACCCTTTGCAAATCTAAGTTTTCTTCTCATGGAATCCAGGGAGTGGGTGGAACTTCAGACACGTACATTGGGGTTTGCCCCAACATGAAGCTAGGATGTGGCCAAGTTGCACATCTGGAGTCAGCAGCTGGAAAATATTCCCAGCACCCATGGTTTACATACAAGGTCTTTGAGAACAGAAACTCTTCCTGTTTTCCTGCAACAAATATTGACCCACAGCCCAATGCAAACTTTCCAGTTTTAATAGGCAGTGAACCAGATACATAGAACTTAATTTGATTCTTGGTGGAATAATGACAACCTGGCTCCAATGGAAGCTAGGGTTACTCAAGGCTACACACACCAGAACCTGAGAACGGACTTTGAACACAGTCCTAGGGCAAATAAAAAAAAATCCAAACAAAATGGCACAAGAGATTTACTGGTAGATTAAACCACCCCAGCAAAATAAATTTTTTACACCTATAATGATTCTGGATGAATTTTGGATAGTAATGCACATGATCTTCGAAAGACTGAATACCCTCAAACTGGTATTCACTTTGCAAGTGGCAAAGAACTGTTTCTAAATATATGATATTATGTTGTTTGGACTGGGTAAATTAGCTCCTTTCTTTTATGCTTATAATAGATAAATGGCATTTTCTCTCCTGTATCCAACAGACATATAGTTTAGACATATAATTCTCCTCTTTGACATACACTAAGTCTTTTCAAAATCGGGTATGTTGATCAGCTGTCTCTGTTATAACTTTCCCCCTTTAAATTCTCAGTTGACTGTAAACAAATTTTCCCTGAACTCAGATCACTTCAGAGATTTTTGGTTTTCATTTTTTTAGTGGAAGAGGGGACAAGAAGAGAAGAGAAAAGACAGGGTGTACTTTACCAGGCAGGATTTCCCAGGTTCTCCTGGGTTCATTTGAAAGCCATTTTAGTTGCAGCTGATAGATTTCTGCCAACAAAAGTGGCTTACGAGAAAACACAATAATGTTTAAATGTTTTATGATACTTATTCAGAACTTCTGATTGACCCTCTTTCTTTTTCTTTTGAATCAGATGATGAAGGTGATAGGGTTTCAACAAGCAGAGCACCACCACCTACATACGTTTGTTAGCATTTTTAAATATGATTGCATTCTGACTGATTTGTAGTGATAAGCAACAGTTTGGAAATATGATTGCAAGCTCACAGTGACAGAAGTAGATAATTACTATCTCCACAAACATCTCTAAGTTAAATCACTTGTTTTAATACAGATTAGATTAGTATTAAAGTTACAAGATTGGTATGTGAGACATGATAAATGCAGTCATGACAGAAAACAATTTTTAATTTAGTATACCCTATCAATCTAGATAGCCCATGAATATTTACCATTAATTCAGCAGGCTGGAACAGAGGGGGGAAAAAAAGAGCAAAAAATAAGGTTTGACCTAAACAAGGACTGAGGAAAAAAAAGAATTCTCAGCAGTTTTACAGAGAACAGATCTTGCAAAAACGTGAACTGGCAACAGATTGGAAAATACATTTGGGGTACCATTATAAACAAAGCTTTTAAAAAACCTGAATGACATGTGAGAATAGTAGCAATTCTTAATATGTACTTCTCTTTGCAGGATTTACCAGTCTGATTACACTTAAGTGAGTAACTTCAAAGGCTGAAATAAAATCATTTATGGAAATTCAAAACAAACCTATTTGATCACATCATACTTCACAGTGGGGATACAATTTGCAGGGGCTGAGTGAGGGCATAGTATAAGCTAAAACAGGTTGTGTGTGCAATGAACCAAACTAAATGGTTTATATAAAAGAAATGTTGTTTCCATTAATTTTTCCGGTAATCCTATTAAAAATGCCACCTGTCCAGAATAGAATTGTCCAGATTTTAATTCCTTTTCATATCTCAGTGTTCAAACACAAGACAGAGAAGGTATCATAGCTATTAAAATATGGCACAAAATGTCTTATTCTGAAATCTTCATTACTGCAGCAGTTTCTCTGGCTCTGTTTCAATGTCTGGCTATTATACCTTTACTTTTCCTCTTGTGCTCAGAGAACTGATTTTTCTGATAAGCCCACAAAATATTTTTTTTAAGGATATGTCATATTTCTAACCTCTCTTTCACCAAAATGTTTCTAGTCTATAACAGTTAAAATTCATGTATATTAAGTAAACATAATGCAGAGAATACACCTTTTAAAATTCCATCGCCAGCCCTCCAAAATCCCCTGTAACAACCCTGAACAGGAACTTAACTTTGAATACCAACAGAGATGAAATGGTGTCATAATCAGCATAAGTGCTTGTGGACTATTCACCTAGATCAAACACTTTGGTCATATACTCAATTAAATTTAAATCCCATTATATAATATGTACCAGCCTCATTTTATGCAATTCCCTAATTTAATGGCTTGGTATTAGCCTTTTTCCTTTTTGCACACATGGACTAATTTTCACGGTGCTCAGTCCCTTTGGGAAGTAGGTCATTAAAGTCCACTGGATGGAGAACAGAAACTTAATACCTAAACACTGTTGTAGAAGGGCCAGGGACACAACAGTAATATAAAACTGTTTTTCACTCATCCCTCTTTGCAATATTTATGAAATTCCTCCCTCGTATAAATATTCTTCATTAATCACAAGGACCACAAAGTAGAAGCACCAAGAAAGCTATCATCCTGTTATGATTTAATTTGTGAAACAGTAAAAAAGAAAAATAAAAAAAAACAATTAAAAAAAAAATCACAATTAGAATACTATGTAGCTGTTGAGACTGTACTTGTTTTACACTGAAACAGTAAAATCATAGTATTCATATTACCTTTCTCAATGTGTATTCTTTTTGTCTCATGTCCCACGTCATGACCAGCCAGATCACCCTCCTTAGGTCCAGGCAGGACATTAGGTGACAAACCCATCAGCATTTGGTTCATAGATAGCCCGTTCTGATGGACAGCTGCTAGACACAAGCGCAGGCACAAAGAAAATCAGCCGTCATATTAACAATACACTTTTGTACTTACTTTATATAGTCTTCCTCTTAATTATACAAGAATTCTAACAATTACAAAGTTACTTAATTAGTGCTATCAGTATCCACACAGCAGGAGAGTTTCTTCCTGTTACTTCTGGTTTAAAACAATTTATTTTAAAAAAAAAGAACTCAGTATCTTTAGACAAAGTTACATATTTGCAAACATTTTCTTGTTTATTTAACAAGAACTGAAATGCAAAATGAAGCAAACCAGAAAAGAAGGTTCTCCTTTAAATGGAGGCCTGTAACCAGTGGTGTCCCCCAGGGGTCGATACTTGGTCCAATTTTGTTTAATATATTCATTAATGACCTGGATGAGGGGACAGAGTGTATCCTCAGCAAGTTTGCTGATGATACCAAACTGGGAGGGGTGGCTGACTCTCCAGAGGACCGCGTTGCCATCCAGCGGGACCTGGACAGGCTGGAGAGCTGGGCAGAGGAGAACCTTATGAGGTTCAACATAAGCAAGTGCAGGGTCCTGCACCTGGGGAGGAAAAATGCTAGGCACCAGTATAGGTTAGGGGTGGACCTGCTGGGAACTAGCTCTGAGGAGAAGGATTTGGGGGTCCTGGTAGATAGTAAATTGTCAATGAGCCAGCAGTGTGCCCTTGCTGCCAAAAAGGCCGATGGAATCCTGGGCTGCATAGGGAAGAGTGTGTCTAGTAGGTCGAGGGAGGTCATCTGCCTTATGAAGAAAGGCTGAGAGAGCTGGGACTCTTCAGCCTGGAGAAAAGAAGGCTGAGGGGAGACCTTATTACTACTTACAAATATCTAAAGGGTGTGTTGAAGGAGGATGGAGCCACACTCTTCTTGGTGGTTCCCAGTGACAGGACGAGGGGCAATGGGTGCAAGTTGGAACATAGGAAGTTCCGTTCCAACACATGGAAAAACTTCTTTACAGTTAGGGTGACAGAGCACTGGAACAGGCTGCCCAGGGAGGTTGTGGAGTCCCCTTCTCTGGAGATCTTCAAAACCCGCCTGGATGCAGTCCTGAGTAATGTGCTCTAGGCAATCCTGCTTTAGCAGGGGAGTTGGACTAGATGATCTCTAGAGGTCCCTTCCAACTCTGAAAATTCTGTGATTCTGTGAACAAGAACTGAAATGCAAAATGAAGCAAACCAGAAAAGAAGGTTGTCCTTGAGATACTTACTAATTATTTTTTTTAAGTTAGTTGTACAAAAGCTTTTGTATATTAGCATTCCCAATATGCAGCCCCTAACTTCCTTAAATCAAGCATTGTGGCCTTCTAGGTGATAAACATTATTTTTCAAAATACACTGCGCAACAGCAGAATTACTTATTTGCTCCTGAAAAGCTCTTTCCATCAGTTCTCAAATAGACCTTCATGAGTCCTAAACACATCTCAGAAACCCATATAAGGTAGTTTATATCCCTGTGCTTCTATCCTGAGATATTGTATTTGCAAGAGGCTTACGCCATTTTCAACAAAGCATTTTTACATATGTAACCCATATTTCTGTAGTAGTCAACTTACTCTTGCTGGCACCACAAAACCAGATGTACTTAAGAATCAGGTGTGATGTTAACAAATCAGATAGGAGAGAAAAGTTATTTTATAAATAAATAAGTCATCCAGTGTTCAAGGAACTCTGTTATGTTCACACTGGAAGAAATACTGTGCAAAGGTCCCATTCCTCTCTCCCTCCTGGTAAGCAAGCTGAACAGCACCTTTTTTTCAAAGAAAAAGGTGTCCTTCCTTAGCAAAAACAGTAAGTATCCCTCAATTTAATCTACCTTTTTATTTAGAGAACAATGGAAAAGGTCTTCAATGGTTGTTAAAAAATATACTATTCAATCAATTTAAAAAAAAAAAAACAAAACAAAAAGAAACCTAGGGTTGTGAGTTTTTTTCCCAGAACTTTACTTATAAACTCATAAAAACCTGGGGAAATAAGATAGGTCACAGTATATGGGATGCCAGTTTAATCTGCACTCTGAATCGTCCAAGTGATAAGAAAACAGAATTTTCAGCTTGTCATGGTCAGGCCTCATTTATTTTCTTTGGTAAGTCATTTTTCATCACATAGTAATGAAAGATCTTTCATCTGAAGGTCAATGAAGAGTCGGCTTCCTGAGTCTGCGGAGAGCCTGAAAGGAAGCAGTCTAAAAAACATGTGCTGCATCTAATCAACACGACTACGTATTTCGTATAGCTATTTCATGGCCTTCTATCTGCATGCCAAATCCTCCAGTTTCACCTACTGACAAATTCCGCTTGTGGAAAGATGGCTTAAAAGCACAAAAACGTGCAAGGGAGCAATAATAAAAGGAATGGACAAGTGTAATATGAATTTAAGTAAATATCCATAAAATGTGTTTAAAACCTTTATTTCCAATATGTTTTGCTGGAATATCATAGAATTCAGGGTCTTTGTCATGTAATTTGCACCCTATACATGGAGACTTGATAAAAATGGTACCACTGTGGGACACCACGGTTTAATTTCATTCTGCCCCTTGTGAGCTATGAGGTGATAATAGTCTCTGTATCATATTTCTCACCATTACAAAGTTTTATATTTAAAAAATTTATAAAGTATGCACATTTTGTAATTGATTTAACCTAATTCTTCTCTTTACCAAGCAATTCTACCGTCTAAAATGTTGCTTATGAACTCAGATTCAATTTAGAATTCAAACCAGAGTAACCACATTAAATAAAACTCAATTTCTTTAAAAAATGTTTACACTATATGTTCAGTTCTAGAACTAATCTAGCAAATTGCTTCCCGGCTGCAATTCTGTATTTCATAGCTCATATCTTTATGTTTAATATGACATGATGGCAGTTTATATCAGTACCTGTTAATGTAGCATCAGATATTATGATACTGTAAACTGGCGAACATAATGTTGGGAGATAGTTATTGCAGCTGAACTTCCGAACATGATACATATGAGATCTATTTGAGACGAGGGCATTTTGATTAGAAAAACCAGCTGCACCTAATCAAATTCAAAGTGGTGACAAGGAGAAGAATGTGACCTACGGATTCTGTCTGAAGAACTCTCGGTCCGTGCAGGAGAGCTGGACACACTGCTGCTTCGGTGAGAAGATGGATGGCTGCCAGGTCTTCGGCCCTCTTCAAGAGAAGGAGCAGGAGAAGGGCTGTCTGGAACACGTTCCTAGACCCCAGGAAAAATAATTGCAAAAAAAAGGCAAGGTTAAATGAAACCCCTGTGGTTTCCAAGCATCAGTTCCCTAAACCGTACCTCCCTCCTAAATCACAACCCATTCTTTCCTCTGCTGAGGTGTCCAGGATTTGCAGAGTATTCTCAAAGGAAACTTAGCAGTTTTAGGACGTTAGACCTTTTAGTATGCAATGTGAGCGCTGCTCATCCCATCAGGCTTTTAAACTGCCTTCTGGACTGCTTATAAAAACAAGGCTTTTCTTTTGCTTTTGACCGCTTTTGCTTTTGTTTTTTTTTCCTCGCTTCTGTGAGCATGATGTTGAATTGGAAATATACATTTTGTTTACTAGCTTATAGACCTTAGCCTTATAGGATGAGCAACAAAGTACTTTTGTAAAAAAATAAAGATCAGACACTTGTTTTACCTTACACTGAATTTTACACCACATTTTAATTTCAAAGAGGCCTCTTGAGCAATGAGATCATACAGAATTGCTCTGGATCAAAAAGAAAATATTATCTCCCCACTGAACCTATACCAGTAACGTGGCTGATAGTCCAAACGTCTGTTTATACCATGGAGCACAAACCTAGAATGAACCACATTTTTTGGAAGTGTGGCCTTATCACTACTTCAAAATGGGGAAAAATGCCCATTCATGGTTTTCTACCCAGGGAGAAGCCTGGCATGGTAGCCAGGAGGAGCTATGACGCACTTCGAGATGTTCCTTGATTTTGAAAATTAGAGCGCGAGGTTCGAACCGCACTTCTGCTATGGGAGAACTGTCAGTATGTAGCAGATAGATATATCCGATATTTACACAGAACTTTGACAAAAACAATAAACAACGGGAACTGAGTGCAGAATAGTCCTTTCTAGAAAATTCTCTGTCTTTCCCTGCAGTTTCCTCTTTATTGCTAATAGTTCCCAAGACTCTATGTCATTGCTAAAATACGTATGAGTTAGGTTGGTTTGGTTGAGTAGTGATTAAAGTAAATAGTTCCTATAAGGGAAGTCTACCGGTGGGGACTGAAAATGATAAACTAGGGTGGTTGTGTTTTGTTTTTTTTCTTCCTTTTGATAACTGAAATCCTGACCTTAATGAAAAAAAAAAACCAAAAAAACAAAACCACACCCCAAAGCAAAAACAATGAACAAACAACTGCATTCATTCAACTCACTAAAAGCTTTCGGTAATGAAATAATACAATTAGCACGCGTTTAATAATACATATGAAAACTTGCTGCTGCAAATGCTTAAAAGTTTTCCTGAAAGGAGCATCACGTTCCTCACACTGCAAATTGCTTTTGCAGCAGTCATTATTTTTCATGCACAGTAGCTAGATGAATATTTCGTTAAATGCATTCCTATGAAACTAAGCAACACGACCATCTATAGTAATCAATAGATTTGTTCCAGGTAAGCTTTATAATAAATATTTACTAAACCTGAGATTCTGATTGCAAAGGGATTCAATGGGCCTACTGATGGAGTGGGAGACGACCTTTCAGAGCAGTGTTTCAAGACTTTTAAGTGGATTCCACTTTAATAGTCTCGGGTTTTTAAGTTAAAAACATTGATGAGGATAGCTTAACTGCATCATAGCTCTAGGCTTATTATGACTTTGATTGTGTTTATATGTCCATGAACTGGGTATTCAAGAGGAGGATTATAATGCAGATGTTTTCAGAACGTAGAAGATTTATTTCTTTAGATTTAGGAGGATTTAAGCATGCACAGCGTACAGATTTGGTATAAATTGGAACACGCTATATTTAATCATTCATTTAATATATAATTTCACTGTTTGGCATACAATGTATTGTTCTTAGAAGGGTTTCATTAAAATGAAATCCAGTGAGCACATAAGATTTGAATACAGAGCTGCAGAGTAAATTAATTTATTTAAACAGCTTAATTTGTTTATCCTATTTATTTATGTGCGCTTTTACAGCACGTATTATGAGATGGAGAGAGCAAAAGGAATGCACAGGACAACAAAATATAATTACTGCACAAACAAAACAGATAACGAGTTTTATTCACATATAATACGACACAGCAGACAAACTCTATGAGAAAACTACATATACTGGCTTTATCAATTCATTTGTAAAATACCCTTTAACCCCAACAAAACATAGGATTGAACTATGCAGAAATGAAAAAGAAATTAATTTAATATCTTAACTCATTTTTTATATCCTTGCTTCATAATTCCACAATCAATAATATAGACTATAGCAATTTTTTGTCTTTATCAAAACTAGCCGAAATAATAAATGGAAATGCTACTAATAATAAATTGAAATACTCTGTAGCTCTAAAAAGTCATAGTGATAAACTAATGGTGCTGGAATATCAATATAAGCTGTCTTCCTTACTAGAGTTTTTGTGTAGAAAAGATGGATTTTGTCTGTGGTAAAATATTAACTTTACATTTAGACTCCACGTTAAAATTTTTCAAAAAAGGAAATGTGTAAAAATGTGTTCAGGAAATAACTCAGATGATCAGAGCTATTTTGTAACTTCTGCAAAATGCCACTCTTTTACAGGTCTACATGACACAGCAAAGAAACAGAATTTACTGCATTATAAACCTGGCAATAGAAATCACCTAGGATACTCTCCACTGTCCAGCCTTTTTCCTAAAACTTATCCACTCTGAGGACAAACTCAATTCCACTTAATTAAAGATATCTCTAGAGAACCTGGTGTTGGCTTGTACTGTAATTAGCCTTGTTGTCTCCCAACAAACAAACAAACAAATAAATAAAAAAAATCTGAGTGACTTTGCTTTGCTAAAATTAACTGTGAGGAAACTGTAGTTTGAAATACAGTCTGAAATCAACACATTTAAATGCAGTTTTGACACATGAGCTAGGGATGAAACTTCAGACACCTGTATCTAGGACGCCACAGGAAGCAGCCCACCTTGGAGGTGTCTCCCATTTCAGTCAACTGAGATATAGACAATAAAGTCAATAGAGTCTCCCCCAAAACCAGATACCTACAGCTCAATTCAGCTGCTCACATTTGAGCCATTTGAGCCATGAAGGGTTTCGAGATGTCCACACCAGGTTGACAGAGAGGACCTACAAATGATCTGCTGCCTTTTGGAGTGGTAGCAGGATGACACAAACATTATCCTTTCATTACTGGCTGATAAGCTGAGTATCTCCCAAAAACCTATTGACAATATTTACTAGAAAACATGAAATACAGAATTATTTATTGCTTGTAAAACATAAGCCTCACTAGCCACCTTTTTTTCTCCATTTTTTGCTTCCCTATTTGTTTTTACAGGTACTTATAAGTAAAAAAGTAGTATGAACAATATAGAGCGTATATAGCAATTTAACATATGGTTGACCAACTTTTCAAAATTGGTAAGACTCTCAATTAGGCATCAGAACCGAAGGCTATACTAAGAAATGGACAACATACTCTTAAGGGTCAAATTTGGAGCATTATTTATCTTGGTAATCTTACAATCTGATCCAAATTATGAATCCTAAGCATTTAAGAATCTGGCATTTAACTCCTCCAAAAATGCTCCTACCATATATGAAACTTTCACTTTAGGGATATACAATGCATTTTCCTGTACTCTTACTCCACTGACATTATAAGTTACACACCCTCAATACCAAGTCCATTTCATAAATAACAAAATTGTTCCTGTGACACTGGCTTTTTTTTTGTTTCTGTTTGGGTTTTTTTGTTTTGTTTTGTAAAAAACAGGTATAAGATTTTAACTATCAGATTTTAACTTGTGAAATTGAAGTTGTCTCTGGAATTAGAAACCCCTCCAATTTTGTTCCAGAATGCCACATATCACTCACAACATAACACTGTCTCCAAGCAAAAAAGAAGTGTCTTGATGTACTTATCGACATTTTTCTACATTTTTCAAACAGCTCTTTTCATAGATGCAAAGACCATACTGTAAGATCTCATTCCAAAAGTTCCTTTTTGCTAACTTCCTATTAAGATTTATTTTAATATATCAGTAATGGTATCCAGAAGACCATAAATACTTTTCCCCCTGTATCATATACATATCTTTTTTCTTCTTACCAGGTCACAGAGGTATTTATTCAATATTAATCTCTTTTTTTGCCTCTTGCTCCAGCGTTATGTTTTCAGTGTTTGAAAAGTGCCTCATTATCAAAAGTCTTCCTCAAAAACCTACCAAAACATAAACTTGATGGAGTTCAGCTGTTGGTCCCTATATCACTATCCACGAGAACACATTTCAGGTAATACGTGTAGGATTAATCCTCCTGCTCTTAAGATGATAGACAAGGAAGTGATGTCTTCTAGGTTCTCACCACCTCAGTCTTTCCACACACATTCTTTATTCTTTGCCATTCCTGTTCCTTAGTGATAAAATTCCAGAATCCTTCTGACAAAATTTGAATATGTCTACTTCCAACAGCCGACTGGATTTGCACGCACAGCTTCATTGCCTGCATATTTCTCTCCTACAGGTATTGTCAGCCTCAGCTTCTTTCTTTGTTCTAGTTTGCTCCTGCATAAGACTCATCCTGTGGGATTAGTCATCCTTTAATTTTAGTCATGGACTGAGTTCTAGACATGCAACTAAGTATAGCTGTAGAAGTATATTGCTATTAAAACCGTTCAGCTGTCTTGATGCTCTTCATTGTTAAACAAACTCCTAAAGCACACTTGTGCTTTAAGTCATTGAAGTGCAGAGGATAAAATCACTTATTTTCAGTGTCATACTTTTCAATAGTTTAGGTAGCTTCATACTGGGGAAAGGACACATGACACTACACCGTTTCATACACTGTTAATTTTAAAACCACCAAAACTTTTAATCTGGAATAGTTTAAAATATTCCAACCTTTCTGGGAAGGCACCTAGCTTCCGATCTTTTTTCTGGTGAAATTATAATACTCTCTTTCAGAAGGACCAAAACACAGACATCTTGCTCTTCATTTCCTTACTGATCTAATTTTTGTGTGA